CTTCTTCCACACAGTCAAGAGCAGGCAGGCAGTCCCCCGCCCACTCCGCACGCTAGCGCGCACTGGTCTCAAGGTCCAAGGTACAGCTGCTAAGAACGATAAGGCCGGGTGACTTCGCAACACTGCAACCCCCTCAAAGAACACTAAGAAACCACGCCCTGGCCTCATCCTGAGGCTCACACCAGTACGGTTGCCCTTCTGGCTGTTTGTTGCAAATCGGCAACTCTCGTCGGCTTCGGGCTGTTTCGCTCTCTCTCTCTCTCTCTCCCTATCTGTCTCTCTCCTTCTCTCTCTTTCGCTCTCGCTCTTTCTCTCGCTCTCTCTCTCTCACCCCTTAACCCGCTTCAGGCTATGACTAGCGCGAATCTTGGCGAAGCTGTTCCTGTTTTTCTGAAGTCGAAAGATTGCGATGATTGAATAACCGAAGCAAGACCTGCAAGGCCTACACGTCCCCGGCACATGTCTCTTTCGCGCCGGACATCTGTATCCGTGTGCAAAGTGTAACAAGTAGCCACAGCAAATGATGGCTTTGCAAGGCCGGTAGGTTCGGCCGCTAATCCGAATTGCGCCATGTCAAGCTGGCTCGGTGCCACAACACCTCCAGCGATACCACAAAACCCAAAGGCAAAACACATAAAGAAGAACAAACCTGCTTCTGCTTTGGAGGAACAGCGCAGCAACTTCCGATGCCACAGGTGGACATCGCAGCCCACCAGGCGATTGCACAGAATCAAAGGCTGAAACACGCGTGACATGGGCTCAGGGAGGATTTAGCAGACGGGGCCTACGTGGAGTGAGGCTTTAGGCCTTGAGTGGTTTGAGCTTTCGGGTTGAGGGCTTCAGGGCGCAGAGTGTCATACAAGGGCCTCGATCATTGCAAATACTAGTTCTTAGGATCCCTTCTTATAGCTTCAGTTCAGAAGCCGCAACACCCACTCTAACTCTTCGGGCGACTACATTCGAGTTGAGCGTCTTGGTGAGTTGATTTTTTTCATGCCGGAGAAGGTCTTCCCGAAGCCCCGAACCAGCTGGGGCCCCCCTTGGCACATCCCCTCGCATTGGGAAGGGCACCCGGCTTGAAGGGCCCCTTTCACCTGAAACCTCCGATGTTGTCTCTTTTTTGAAGCCTCGTCCTGGGGTTTTGGCGTCTGAAAACCCTTAGCCTCAGCATGTCCAAATCCTGACCCCAAAGCGTTACCTTCGAAGCGCTACAGCCCAACCGCACTTGAATTGGTCCGACACGCATTAGGACCACGCGAGGACTACAGGACAAGTGGCTTCAGACATACGCAGAGACATGTAGTCTTCTGCAGTAACCTCCACATGGCATGATGCTAGTAGACCCACGGTCAGCAGTGCTAGACTGACAGCTTCGGCAGGTGGACACGCCCAGGATCATGGATGTCCGCTGAACAGCGGCTCGAACAGCAAAAATTCGGATCTTGGGGTCAGGGGTTGTGTTTCGGGCCGTTTAGGGTTCAGGGTGGAGTCTAGGGCCAACACGAAGCCGCCGTCTCTTGGCATGCATATGTACACTCTTGGGGTTCGTTGCCCACTCACTCAGAGCCATGCCCAGTCACCGGCTTAGTAACCTGCAAGGCATGGCAAACAAAGGCAACAGCGCCGAAGACTTGGCTAGACAGGCAGTGGAATGGGTGCCGCCACGACACTGTCTGACTCAATGTAGCGAAAGTCGTGGCGACCTCAACAACGTTCGTAAAACCCCTCTGTCGGACGTGCTGCCAGTCCCTGGATTAAAGCCAACGTTTTCGATGGAGATCAAGTCCCCCGAAGAGCTTGTAGTACGACGAGCTGAGTCCTGCTTTGCGTTTTCCTCATCCTGAGAGCTTGGACCTGGGGTGACACAGCCTTGGCAGCACAAGGTCTTCGAGCCTCAGCTACTGGCTGCTTGGAGTCAAGTCGGGACCAGTTTCGGTGAGACAGCGGCGTTTCCACCTGTGGATCGGATGTTTCATCACGACTTGCAGACTTTGCAAGGTGTTGCCTTTCATTCTCTGTCCTCCGACCCCACTGCTTTCGCAGCTGGGGGGAAAAGGGGAACTGTTGAGCTGCTGTCTCGCGATTTTGGATCTCTGTCGATCAGAGCTATGGCAGCTTAGCTTTGGCTTCAGGGTTACGGTTGAGGATATTCATGCGAACTTCTGAAGCATTTACGCAGCGAGACCGCAAGGAATACTTGTAACACTAACCAATATAGCCCAAAACAGTGGCTGTCGGAGCCCCCCGCTGATTCTCAGTAGGGTGTGCTCAACGTGTGGAAGGAAACTTAATTCTCTTCTTTCATTAGCTGCTTGGCAACAGACCTGGCGACCGAGTCCTTCTATTGCTGCCCAGAAATGAAGTGATGACTACTGGGACTTTGTACCTCTGAGTTCGCAAGTTCAGTCCGGGCAGAATGCCCTGGCTTCCCTGGCAAAGTGCTGGTCAGATCCGGAGGACGTGGCATGCTAACATCCACAGGCTTCCCAGCATGCCGCGGCCTCTGCATTCATTTACGCTGATTGAGATCGCCCGGTCTTGGTGGCAGCCTTCTGGTCCTGCTCAGCCCCTCAGGTCTAGGTTCAGGGTACATGTTCCCCCAGATGCGCAGTAAGTGCCGCAAGATACCGCGAGTGCTCCCTTGCAGCCCGACACCCCAAAATGCCACGAGCTCTCCTCCGACAGGAGGTGGAGCTCCAAGTTTGCCACCCCCTTCTCGAGGCGGCGGCTGCGGAGAAGAAGCTGACCGATGTCGAGACTCTTAGCCGCCCCTTTGAAGCGGGTAATGCCCTCAAGGAATTCCTCAACCTTAGTTCAGCCAGCCTTCCTGAATGTTTCTGTGCAGGATTGACTGGAACAGATAACGAGATGCCTGTGGTTAGATTCCTGCCTTTCGGCAAAGTCACAGAGATCTCGCCATCGCCTGTGTCGTCCAAGAGATCGAAGAGAGTTTTCAGGTCTCCCGCAGCAATCTCGAGCTTGTCCAGGAGGAACTTCAGCTTTTTATCCTGGGCAAATAGAACGGAGCCTCCCTTAGCCGAAGCCACTGGGGCACCTAGAATCTTGTCCGACAGGAGCGGGTTGCGAAGACATAGCCTGGGGAAGTGACCGGTAAAGGTCTAGGCCTAGGCACGGGAAGTCTCTGCGGGTGGACAGCCTACAGTGCATCCGACTTCGAAGTACAGACTGCATCACTGTAGTATCCGGATCTTCAACTCGCAATTATCTCCTTCATTCTGAAAATGGATACTGCCAAACGAGCTCCGTCTTCAAGGTGGTGGTGGTAGTAGCGGCGGCGGTGGTGGCGTCTGGTAGTGATGTTGGCGGTGGTGGCGGTGGCTGCGGCGGTGGTAAGCAATTGAGCAGCAGAACTATAACAGCAGGAGTAGCAACTGTGAACGGATTGATCTTCGCACGAACAATCTCGTACAGTAACACGGCAGCATCAACAACAAAACCTTAAGGGACGACACACAACGTGCGTAGCATGTCTTGCTGCAGCCCCGCAGGCTTCAAGGAGGACTTCGAACTCTGCCCACGAGAGAAGTCCATCTCCAGATGTATCCAAGGTATGGAAGATTCTCCCGACGTTCTTCAAGTACTTTTCTTCGGCCTTTTGCTTTTCCATAAGCAAAACCTCTTCGTCACCTTTTGCAACTTGCATTGTTTGCTGCACGAAAACGGCATTGACGACCTCAGTTGAATTGAACAGTCTATGCGGAATGCAACCAGTTGCCAGGAACGGAGCTGTGCAAGGTTGAGGCGAATTCGGGCAAGATGCATTGATAACGGCGAAGCCGATGCCGCATCGGTAGATGAGGAAGAGAAGCCTCGGCTTTGAGCTACTGGTCGCACATATGCAGCATCGTCTTGAAATGATGGGCACTCCCGTGTTACTAGATTCGGGGTTGGGCCCGCTCCTTTCGGCGTTAATGACAGTATTCCGAATCATCAACCCTGACAAGCTCGCAGAAAGCCCGACTTCTCCGAGTAGCGAGTACCACTCGGAGATGTTCTCGACCAGGACACGACAGGCTGGAGCCCAATTTGCAAAGAACACCTCCGTTTTTTTGCCCATCGTCAGCTTGGTTTTGTTTTTGGGCTTAGGGCAACTTGACAAAGCAGATTTTCTGACCTTCAAAGGGGCCCCAATACAGAACAGCCACAGGCAGTACTGCACCACGATTCGTGGCTTAGGGCGTGAAGTTTAGGTTTTGAGGGAAAGCCTCGAGACTGGGCTTCAGCTCTGAGCGTTTACGGCTCGGGTTCAGGGTTTGGGGAGGCCTTGCGTTGGTCCCCACCCTGTTTCTGCAAGCTCTGACCTCGCAGGAACTGCCGTCCCCGTGGCTGTTGCAAGAGTTACTAGCCTTGTTCGTTCGATTGTGCTCCTCAGCCCGAAGTCATGCATCGCACCCTTTGGAGAATAAGCCAGAACTGCTTTTCCCGTACGATGCCTACTACACAACAGAGGCCGCTGCGCATAATCCACAGTTTGCTCAACCGGCCCTCGAAGTTCACAGGGCTCTTGCCTCGAAGAGAGTGAGCACTGCAATGGTGAAGGTGCCTGTGATAGAGAAGCTACCATGTTCCGAGTGGGAGACCTTCTGTGAGGCCCGGTGCCTCTTTGGGATGCATGCTTTCACGCGGGATTAGAGTTTCGGGCTCATGAACGATTATGACTTCTTCTTGTTTGGTATAGCCGGTATAGCATTATCATCAGGTTTTGTGTGGCTTTCCTCTTGACATATCGTGTGATATGGCTACCATTAGTAGCTGTATTCACTGTGCTACACACATCGAGACGTTTTATACTCTCACAACTCATCATGTTGCGAATATTCATACGCATCTGCTGCTGATGTGCCTTCGTTGTAACTACGCTGATGCCCCTGTTGATCTGGATATTGGTGTCCAGCGCTTGTTAAAGAAAGGCTGCTGTTGCCTTTCTGTCTGTTCCAGATTGTCGATCGTCCATTTTGCTTGCGGTATCAATGCTTATGAACAACCAGAGGGTTCTGCCTAGCTAGCTACCATGCTTTCAATTGTCATCACGACTTCTGGTACTGCTGCTCCAAGAGATAGCTTGTCAAGCATTTCCGTTATCATTACTCTGGCTAGTCTTGGCATTGCCACTAAATGCGATGCGATTGTGAGTGTTGGAATTGTGCGAACCGCCGCCACGAATACCACGACTGCAAAGACTGCAACAGACACCATGACGACCAGCGTCTACCTCTGATTGTTGTCACCGCCGCGACTGTTGCTCACCTTGCTGTATTCTGATATACCTTACGAGTATTCTCATATTGGCGATCATTTTCGGGCCAGCTGAAGTGTGGCCAGGCTGCCGTAGTACTTGTACACTTCTTGGCGTCGCTCTTCAGGCTCGTTGACATCCTCCAGGTACTACAAGTAGGGCGATTAGGGCGGCGTGAGGCTTGGAGATGGTTCATGAGATTGCGTTGTTTCGCTCGGCTTCGGGGCTTTAGTGGTTCAAGGCTTCAAGTTCGGGTCATCCTCCAGGTAAGGCCGTACCATGAAACAGACAATCATGGCAGCGATGAGCTGAATCACCAAGAGGAAGAGCAGAGACCTCAGACAGTGCTCGCAGAGATTCAGCAAGAGCAGATTGACAGGGCATCCTACGGTGGATGGACGAACGAACATCCAGCACTACCTTGCGTATCCTGAAATATGGAAATCATGGTACAGAACCTTCCGAAATCTGGATGGCACTTGATGCTGTCCATCACTTTGGCCTTAGGGGTCGCTTGGAAGGGGAAGCCTATCATATACTTTTATTGGTAGTGTTATGATTATTATGATGATGATTATTATTAGTAGTAGTAGTAGCAGTAGTGGTAAGTAGTAGCAGTGGTGGTGGTAGTAGTAGCAGTAGCAGCAGCAGCAGCAGTAGTAGTAGCAGCAGTAGTATTGATATTCTGTTCGCACATCTAGAACTTGTTTTGCTGTTTCTGTTTACCCAAAGCTTGTGGCAACTTAGGATCCTCTCTGGGAAGTCATTGTTAATAAGGGCTCCAATGACATTTCGGGACCAACAGGGCACCCTGATCATCGAATTCTACCCGCCTGCAGGGAATCCAGCATAGTTCACTTGATGGCGCACCCTTCCGTAATGCAATTTTCGAGTTGAACTTCTGGAAACCCCGTATAGTTCTCGAAACAAACCTCCAAAGCGTGCAAACTCCAAACACGAAAGCAAGAAAGAGCAGTAAAACTTGAAAGCCTGAAATTCTCTTCGCCAAGGCAAGGAGCCATCCAAAGCAATAATGATAATAACAACAGAAGCAAACGATAATATTGATAACTGATAATGATAACAACAGCAAAGTAATAATTGTAATATTAATAAACGTAGCAAGATCCATAATGATGACAATAATACTGAAAATTATGATAGCAAAAATAGTAATGCTAACATTCATGCAAGCAATACTCATCCTAATAATCTTAATAATAATAATGATGATGATGATGATAACAGAAATTGCAATAGTAATGTTGATAACAGTAATAAAGATCATACTAAAAAACATATGAATATATTAGTAAGATTATAAACAGTAACAATAACAAGACCAATAACACTATTCATACTAGTGATAATAATGATGATAGTAGTCATGCTAATGATATTCATAAGCCCTAAAGCCGGCAAGGAGCCATACAAGGGTGAGTCCGCTGGAGCTCATGCCTTGCTACGGCGAAGCTTTCGGGTTCCGGGTCTAGGGTTTAGGATCTTTGGGGTTTATTCATATGATTACTATTATTGTGAATATGTGTATTAAACGATTATTGTCATCAGTATGTTTTTATTTCCCGTATTCTTATTATCATTAGTACCACTACTATGTATGGGTTTAAGAAGCTTTTCGGTGTCGGGTTTGGGGTTGCTTTTTGAAGCGGAGGTGGGGAGCTCAGGTTTTCCCAAGATGCATCATGTTTGGTTGTGGGGTTCAGGGGTTTAGCATGTTCCGGGGTCAAGAATTTAGTCCGCATGCCTTTGGCTTCCTGCAGCTTCGGGTATCCCATTGAGGCAATCATTTAGGGTGTCGCTAATGGGCTTCACATGTTGACAGTGAGACTCTTGTGATGTGCTGATGACTAGTGAAACAGCAGACGAGGGCTCTCAGGTTCCGGAAGCAAGAAGTAGCAGTGAGAGAAAAGCATCACAGCACACTCTAGCAAGTGCCCCCGTCTCGAATCCTCCAAAACACCCTCGAGTAACCTCAGAGCAACCCGCAAAATCCCCCTTATGGTAAGCCTTGTAGTGCTCCTCATGCAAGTAGCAACTGTTAACCTACGGTAACCCTTGAAGGCCACAAACCTCTGATGGAGGCGAGACTCATCTGGCGAGCAGGCTCAGCGAGTCCAGCATGCCAGAAACCTTCAACACGCGGATCGTCCTCTCAGCTTCACAGGGTCTGGGGACAAGGCGACGTATCATGCTTTAATCCCCATAAACGACATCCAGGTCGTCAATGCGATTCCTCAATATGAACCGTTAGCCCTGAGAACCCAAGACAACATGCCCTCAATCCTGGAGCCTGAACTTCCGAAGTATCTCCTGAACAGCTTCGCGAGACGGCAAAGACGCAAGAGAGTGGGATCCACCGGCAAGTTCCACGAGAAGAGCTCCACCAAAGAGGCCAAGAGAGCGATAAAATCGATAACGTTGAAGGCAGTCTTGAAGAATGCAGCCCTCAGGAAAAGGAACCTCGGATCTTTGTGCGTTTAGGGCTTAGCGCCGAGCATAGGCCTTAGAGCTTGGTCTCGGTCGAAATATTAGGCTTTGAGCTCTGGGGTGTACATCTTGAAGACCATTTTTGTGGCTGAGAACTCACAGTCGATGATAGGGCCTAGCGTCCAGAGGCTTCCCAGGGTCCTAGGGCCAAGCCAACAAACAGAAATTGTCTCTTGGGCTTTACAAGCTTCTGTAGGGTCTATGACTCATGAAGCCGACCATAGGTACATCATGCCAACAGTGATTTTGGGCTCATTACGAAGCAGGTTTGACAATCATTCGGGCCCTGTTTTGCTGTTTCACTCTACGGCACCAGGTGTAAGAGAAGGATGCGATCAGTGCTGCCGCAACAAGGCCTGTCGAACTTGTTCACAACTTTGCTGCTGTAGCACAAGACTTCTGGATGAGCGTCTGTGTGGTGTTCAAGTCTTGCTGTGTCTGAAAACGCGAATCTGCCATTTTGAAATTGGCTTGCCGCCTGTACTCAGGCTTTTAGATTCTACATGCTTGGATACATGCCTGGCTTTGCTTGACGGTGTAGGCATGTACCGGTCGCGATCCTGGCGGATGTTGACATGACCCCAAGTCATAGACCCGAAACTCCAGACGGGTGACGACTGTGACGAGCAGGCATTAGCAGTCAACAAGCTGCGAGCTAGCTCTGAAAAACCACACCAAGGCCTTGCATCATGCTTTTGGGGCACCTGAGCAAGATCTCCGATGTGAAGAATACCAGGAAAATGCTGCGCATGACCTGGCGAAACTTAAGATGGAGCTTCTCAAAGGTAGTTGCGGGCATTTAGGTCTTCCATTTTGCCGGATGCGAATCAAATATCTACACTTCCAGTAATGGCAAGACTATGCGAGGTCTTCGCCGTTAGTAGCAGCAGTAGCAGTGGCAGTGGTAGTGGTAGTGCCAGTGGTAGTGGAAGTAGTAGCAGTAGTCGTCGTGGTCGTGGTCGTGGTAATGGTGGAAGTGGTTGTGGTCGTCGCATTAGCAGTAGCAGTAGCCGTAGCAGTAGCGGTAGCAGTAGCAATAGTCGTCGTCGTCGTAGTAGTAGTAGTAGTAGTCGTCGTAGTAGTAGAAGTAGTAGGGTAGTAGTAGTAGTAGTAGTAGTAGTAGTACTAGTAGTAGTACTAGTAGTAGTAGTAGTAGTAGTAGTAGTAGTAGTAGTAGTAGTAACAGCAGCAGTAGCAGCAGCAGCAGCAGGAGTAGTAGCAGCAGCAGGAGTAGCAGCAGCAGGAGTAGTAGTAGTAGTAGTAGCAGTAGTACTAGTAGTCGTGGTGGTGGTGGTGGTGGCGGTGGTGGTGGTGGTAGTAGTAGTAGTAGTAGCAGTAGTAGTACTAGTACTTGCGAACGGACCTCGATGCCTCTTCCAATTCGTGGGGCGTCACGAGAAGAGCCATGAGCAAAGTATCACAGGCCTGCTTGGCAGATTGATGATACTAACATTCCTGCCTTCAAGGCTCGTTACACATGTTTCGCAAAGCTGCGCTGGATAAGACATCTTCTTTTCTTTCAAGCCCAATCGCGACAGTCTTCCTATGTGAGCAGTGCCGAAGGCGCCATTCACGGGGCGGCGCGGCGGGGGGAGTGTGCGAACGGACCTCGATGCCTCGTCTAATTTGCGGGGTGTCACGATAAGAGCTATGAGCAAAGCACCACAGGCCTGCTTAGCAGACGGGTGATATTAGCATTCCTGCCTTGCAGAATGTACTATACCCTTTCAAATGCTCCGCCTCAAACGCAGCTTTGTGGCTCAAGAAACCGCCATAAGCCAAGAGCTTACGACGCAGATTGTAGGCATCTGATCTAAGTGTCCGAGCCATTCCCGCGGCACAGACCGTCGGCTCAGCATCGCCGTTTCCGAAAACACGAGGACTCTGACCACTACCTCAACGACTAGGCAGCCACATCTACGTCAACAGATTTGTGAGGTGAGCGACCAAGCGAACATCATATTCAAAACCTCACGCAGTAATAAGACGAGTACGAGCAGTAGCAAGTAGTAGCAAGTAGTGGTAAGTAGTGAAAAGTATAAGTGGTAGTGGTAGTAGTAGTAGTAGTAGTAGCAGCAGTGGCAGTGACATAGTAGAATCCTGATAGAATCTATCAAATCCCTGTAAGCTTCAGTCAGACCACGGAAAGTAGGTAGTAGTAGGTAGTAGTAGTAGTAGTAGTAGTAGTAGTAGTAGTAGTAGTAGTAGTGGTAGTAGTAGTAGTAGTAGTAGTAGGTGGTAGTAGGTGGTAGTAGGTAGTAGGTAGTAG